GTGGGGGGCGGGGAGGGGGTCTTAGGGCAGGTGTCCCCCTACCTCGGCGTGTCCCACGGGGTCTCCAGCCCCGAGGTGCACGGGCGGAGGGCGCATCCCCAGGACCCTGGCTTCCTGCGGGGCGCGCCAACGCGGCGCAGCCCCCACCTCTGCGACCCCTGGGGGGCGTCCGGGGCTGGAGCCCCCTTCCCACGCTGCCAAAGTGCTCCGAAGTTGCGGTCCCGCCCGTTCCCCGCGGACAGTGCCCACCCGGTGGACACCCGCAGGTGCCTCCTCCGGGCCTGGGCAGAGACCCCCAGCCAGACTGCCAGCGTTTCCCAGGCCCCCCGAGGGCAGCGCCTGCAAACAGGCCTGGAGCCCCGGCCCCGCCCCGGTTGCCTGGGCCCAGCCTCCCCACCATCTCCCTGGGGAGGGCGCCTCATTCCTGCCCTTCACTTTCTGCTGTTACCTTGAAGGTATTTATAGGTGGAGAGGACAGCCCCCCACCTCCCTAGGGTCCTCATTTCTGGACCAGGGGCCCCATCATTCTATTTTGCCCGCGGACGAGAGCAATCTTGGTGGGGGTGGGGGGCGGTGGGAGATGGAGGAACCCAGGCTGGGTATGCATGAGGGTTGGTGTAAGGGGGAGGGGAGTAGCCAAAGGGTTAATAGTGGGGTCACTTGAGGCCGCGAGCGGGGGTGAAGGGGTTAATGCGAGAGAACCCTATGGTGGTGGTGGTGGTAGTGGTGGTGGTGGCTGGGGGGAAGAGCTGGGGTGTGGGAAAGTGCAGGGGTAACGAGGGGGCCACTTGAGACAGTGTGTAAAAGTGGGAGGGATGTGTACTGAGAGAACGGAGCTCGGCCTTAGGGTGTGAGTGTGCGTGGACGTGGGGGCACACCTCGGGAACGTGCATCTGGGTGTGAATGAAGGCAGGCACCGACAGAAGGGCTAGGATGAAGGAGGGCGAGGATGAAGTAGCTGAGGGTGTGTGTGTGCAAAGGGGGTAAACTGAGGCAGCGAGGATCTGTGAAGAGAGCCGTGAACTGTGGGGAGACCGTGGCGTGTTCTCGGGGTCTAATATGTGTAGGTGGGCCCTCAACACCTCTGGCTTAGCTCGCCGGGGCTGAGAGGTAAACTGAGGCGAGGAGCTGCAAAGGTAAAAAAACGAGAGTTTGGAAGAGGGGAAACTGAGGCAGAGACCCTTTCTTACCCCCACCTAAATGCCTCCCTCTCTCTATCCCCAGACTCACAATGTCCTGCTGAGCCAGTCCAACAGCTGAGTGGAGCCAAACAGAAAGTCCCAATGGAGGGTCCCCTGGCAGGTGGCTTGGCCGCCCCGGATCGTCCTCGAGGCCCAGAGAGACTGCCTGGCCCAGCGCCGAGGGAAGACATCGAGGGTGGGGTCGAAGCTGCTGAGGGGGAAGGTGGCATCTTCCGGTCCACCCGTTACCTGCCTGTCACCAAGGACGGTCCCCGAGACATCCTGGATGGCAGAGGTGGCATTTCTGGTAAGAGAATGGGCCTGTGGTCCCAAAAAGGCATCTCAAGGCACAGAGAGACCAAAATCATTCAGCCTGGGCTGTATGGGGATTTCATTCCACGTGGGTCCCACCCCTTCACTGCATTCCGCTTAGCTTGCAATCTTACATTTGTGGAAGCAGTTACCCTGGGAGCCTCTCAGCATCCCACTGGGCGGCGGGGAGCTGGGACTTGAACTCAGGCTGGCCTAACTATTTTTTTCTGAGCACGGCAATTGGGTCCAGGCATTGTTTTCAGCATCCCACGCTCCCTGCCCCGAGCCTGCTTCTTCCCAGGTGTATCCTGTTCCATCCGTCCGTCTCAGCTCCCTTGGGGAGTCCTACTCCTGAACCAATGGGCCGAAACGCTTGTACCCTCTAGTGGCTAGAAAAAGACTAGGTAGTCAGGGATGCCTGCCATGGGTTCGTGCCTCAGTTTCCCCAACCGAAGGGTACATCTCACACTGGCCCTCCCTCAACGATTTGCAATTCGTTCGTTAAATACTGAGCACCTACCTACTCTGGGCTGGGTTCTGTTTTAGGTGCCAGGAATACAACCATAAACAAAAAAAAACGAGAGTTCCTGCCCTCAAGGGGTAGACAGTCTAGCAGGGGAGATGGAAATCATGCAACTAAACAAATATCGAAAGGGCATGCAGGGGACAGGTGTTGGGAGAGTGTTGAATAGAATGACAGAACAGTACCTGGGAGAAAGCCTCCCCCAGAGAGTGGTATTGGGGGACATGAAATAAATGGTGGGAAGAGTATTTTAGGTGGAATGAACTCACGTGCAAAGGGCCCATGGAGCCTGGGGTCCCTGGCTAGAGAACAGCAAGAAGCTGTTTGTTTGTTTGTTTGTTTCCTGAGATTTTTGCCATAGGGCACATGTGTTTGCCAGAGAGAGAGAGAGAGAGACAGAGACAGCAAGAGGGAAAGTGAGAAATCACCCTCCAGGTGGGATAGTAGTGCTGCAATCCCTTCTCCTCCAGCTCCTGCAGTCTCCTTCTGCGATCTTGGGCACGCACGCACACACACCTGGTATGATTTTTTTTTTTAAGCCACCGGGTCCAGGACTTGAACCGCCATCAGCCATGCGGGAATCTAGCGATTTAACCATTATGCTACCTGCTGGCCTCAATTTCCCTTCATTTCTTGACCCATCCCCTAGGCTCTGGTTTAAGGGATTGCCAGGAATTTCCTATCTGCCAAGGCCTTTGTGTGTTCTTGTGGTATCATTCTCAGAAGAGCCCTGTATGGTCATCCCATGTGAGAGATGGAGAAATTGAGACCTCAAGGGGTGACAGGACATTGTCCAAGGCCACACAGCCAGGCAATAATGTGGCTGGATGGAAGGTGGCTTGACGACCCTCTTTTCACCCTCACATTGCATCTTTTTTTTTTTTTTTGAGAGGTCTTTGCTATAGGGAGTGTGCGCTCGCCAGACAAACAGAGAGAGACAGAAAGCAAGAAATCACCCCCTAGGGGGGATGGCCACATCGCAATCCCTTCTCCTCCGTTCTCCTCTCAGGATCTTGAGCACGCACACACACACGCCCGGCGTGAGTGTAAGCCACCGGGTCCAGGATGTGAACCGCGGTCGACTACATGGGAGTCCAGCGACATAGCCATTACGCTAACTGCTGGTCCTCTTTTCCCCTTTTCTTTTTTGTTTTTTTGAGAGGCACACTGCATCCTTGAGGGGGGTCCTTGACGTGGCTTCGTGGCCCTCTCTTCACCCTCACACTGTGTCCTTGAGAGGGGCCCTTGACGGCCTTAGCTCACTTTCAGCACCTCTCAGGGTGGCTGGGTATGTACAAGGCACTTTCTCAGGGCTGGGCGCTGGGACACGGCTGGGATCAAGCACTCGCCAGCCCTGCTCTAGGGACCCACCAGTGGGGGCAGGGAGACAGCTATGCCACCAGGTACGATGGTGCTGTCTGCAGGGACAAGAGGAGCAGCTGGACCAGGAACTGAGGGCAGGGAGCAGGAGTCCTACAGAAAGTGAAAAAAGGTAGGAGGAGTGGGCAGTGAGCCAGACTGAGGGGCCAGAGGTTATCCAGGCAACGGGCCCTGCACATGCAAACACTTGGAGGTGACTAGTGGCATCTGTAAGTGTCCCGGGGGGGGGGGGGTGGG